CTACAATGTCCCATGAAACCTTAACTTTTTTCCCTTATCAATTTTTATTTGTATAATATAAGAGGAAAAGATTAATGATTTTCTTTAAGTAAAAATATTATATAAATAAAAGGTAATTTAACCTTTTTATTACTTTTTACTATTAACCGTTCTTTATTAAGAGTTAATAATTACACATAATATATATCCTTACTAAGAGTGAGTAAAAAATATTTGCCTGTTCAACAGCATATAATGTTATCAAGAATAATTATATAAAAGGGAAGTTACTTAATGTTATCCACATATTAAAAGGAGTATTAACGCTAATTCCTTGCCACACTTAGGTTTAATCTAGTAAAAGTTGACATAGCAAAAAATATTCATAAAGTATAGAAAATAGTTGGTTTATTAAAAGCTATTTATGTGTTTTAATCGGTATCTACCCTTTGCCATCACGTTTTTTGTTATTGCTTGCGAACCACAACAAGGTGTCATCGGCTACTTCGTTAGTTTCGTTCCGCGGCATATATAATTATTTTACGAGACCCATCAAAAATATTGTACATAATACCTTACCATATAAGATATATTATCATATAACTATACCGTAACAAAGATCGGATTAAGGTTACATTTCAATAAGACACATTTTATTACACATTTTTGTAAAACAATGAAAGTGTTTTTAACGCAAAATACGTGGTTTTATTATACAATATATTAATTTAACAACAAATATAAATACATATATACAATAAATGATTGTCGTCTTAATTTAGGCCAACGGGCCTGATTAATCTGTTGTCACAGCCAAGCCAACTAGCAAAGTCTTGTGCATTTCACCTAATTCTAGTTGACGTACAAAGCAGTAATGCAATGAAAATCATTGCTGCATGTGATAATAACAAAAATGGTATCTGTAACGAAAACGTTTATATCAAGACCTACACATGGCACGTAGAATACATTTATAAATTAAAATTGTATTGTTATAAGTAAGATTGTATTTAAGGGTCGGATGGAGAAGTAGGAGTCTTATTCTTAGGTTAAAGAGTTATTTTAACGGATTTTTTTTCTGGTGCAATTCCAATATTCTGCGTATTAACAAAACTTACGTGTGTACTAATATCTCGGTGTATATTATCGAGACGTCATTCGGTTTGAACCGTTATAACGGACGATCCGATTGGAAAAAATAACGGTTGATGGCTATAAAATGATCGACGGTTTTGTACTGGTGACCGGTGAAAAAACCGTCTATGATTTGGTTTATCGTGCTTTCAGCTAGAAAATCAAAAAACAGCAATTTATAACGAAATTTTGTAATACGCAAGTGTTCATTGTATGTTTATAAATAACTATTGAGATAAAAATCATTTGTAGAAAAACGCGCAGAGGAACAGAATTACAACTTTTTAAACAGTGTAACGACGACGATGATTATCAATGTTTTTAAACATACTGAAAAACATCAAATCGCTTTTGGCGCGTAACAATAAAATAATAAAGTATCGTACTCGGATCGCTGGCGCTTTCCATCAGGGTCCTCGATATGAATTGGACGAGAATCTCAAATTCGGAGGATTTAATGATTTGCCCGTGCTCAAAATATGGTCTCATACGGTCTGAGACCAACAGCTTGATCCTTTCGTAGGAAATCACCCGTTCCTCTTCTAGGGACAGGAATATTGGTTGATACTCGGGATTAAGGCAGTTATCAAACACCTGATTCAGCTCTCGGTCTATCCGGGCTCGCATGGCTTGAGGTAGTCTTCTCATGTTCCTTCGGAACTCGTGCGTCGTAGCCACCATTGCGCTGAGATTTTTATCGTTCTTAACGATGTCAATCATCTCGGGTCGCAAAGTATTCGGGTCCACAATGGCTTCCGTTGGCGTTCCCGGAAACATTGAAGTACATTTGAAATTTTCGATAGCTAATGTCATAATGGCCTGTTCGTCCTGTTGATCTGCAAGCGTAAATAAAACGTTTATTTTAAGGAAACGTAATAGTGTACGCTCGATTATGTGTTGCCTGTAACAGACGTTAGGTTTTATTTGCAATAAAGCCAAAATCTAATTACCGAAGACTTGTGCCTGCGTCGGGAACTGAAGTAAGTACGCGTCGCCACAGTTTTGCTGTCTTTCATCAATATCGACAACAGCGACCTCCATCGTCGATGCAGTGTCACGATTTCTACTATCCGATTGCGCTATGATAGTCGTCATCAATTGGTCGTGGATCGTTGACGTGCCCGTACAGCTTTTCACTTCATCTATCTGTTTACCCATAAGAAAGCAATACGATCGCGAATCATTTGCGTGATATTTTCTTATTTGACGTTTAAGCATGAGCATATTTTAGTGGTGGAGGTGATGAGGCGATCGCCCCCCCCCCCTGAATACGTATTTAAGTAATTGATTTCATGTGAGATACAAATTTCAAATTTTTGTAATGTGGACCATTTTATAATAACATCAAATTACGCATAGCTGTGAATACTGAATTTAGCTTTTTGTCGGGTCTATACTTAGTGGAAAATCAAATAAAGTACAAGCGTAACTTTCAAAACACAGACAGGTGTTAAAGAAGAATTATACGAAATCGATTCTAACTGGATCCGGGATCCGGCATTAGATTAAAAGAAAAAAAATCACAAATATTTAGGATTCACCTGTTAAATATTACCAAAAATGTACTTGTAAATTTTGATCCTGAATTAAAATAAATTTGAGTTGCCCCTCCCCTCCCCTAGAAGTAAGTCCAAATATACCCCTACGTATTAGTGCATCCGCGTAGGGTACTTTGTTGATACAGCAAGTCGAAAGTAGTGCGAGGTTTCTTTTTCTTTTTACAAGTGCAACCAACGGGTGAATTTCGGGAATCACAGAGTAGATGAATATCAATATTCAATATGAATATTCACGTACCGTTTTACGCATTGCATCGCAGTAGATCTCTGCTACCATGCACTTCCTTATCGCTTCCTTTTCCATCTCGCCCAAACACTTCTCCACGAACATTTCTATTGTTCCGTTTTCAGCCGAGCCGCGGTCGCTCGCAGTGTTTTCTTTAATGTTGGTCATTAGCGTTTCACGCAGTTTTGCCAGGTAACCGGCCCTTACCATGTCACTGAGGCCATAGTCCACGTTCTCGGGACTCATGTCCGCTGGTGTTGCCGGCAATCCCAAGTCCCATACCGATGCGTATTTTAGTGAATTCATAATATCTCACGTTTGAGTAAACTATGTACGTATAGCAGTAGTGTACTTGAATAGCACTGGTGCTTCCTGATGTATCAGCCGGAAAGGTTGTAAGAGTCGATCGGATACAACGGTGCACAGAGAGGTATGTGTATATGTTGTAATGTCTTGCCGTAAGTTTGAAACAACTCGTATGGTCAAGTCGATGGTTTACGGAAAACTAAAATCTCGTTCCTTATTACTTATTAATATTACTTTTAATCATAGAAACCATTTGCATACTACGACACTTTTTCAGCCATAATATTTTTTTTAGTGTTTTATTTTAATTTTATTATTAAAATTGATTTAAAGGTCGATACGTAGTACCAGCGTCCTCTAATGCAATGTACGGTCCGTTACTTAAAGGACCAGAACGGACTTAATATTTTATCAGGGGACCGAAGTCGAGCCGGATCACACTTAAACGTTTACTAACTAACTTTATAAAACCAAGTAACCAAGTATATAGGTAAACGAGGTTTACCTAAATTTCAATTGTTTAAAGTTTTTTTTATTTGTGGTTTTTATTTTAAATAAATTTCTTGAAAACATACTCGTATGCCACGATCGGAGTTACAAAATAATTTTTAAAATATCACATGGTACAGGTTTTTTTTTTAATAAATCATAGAAAATAATGAATTGCTAACAATACATATAAATTTTTTTTTTGAATTATTGAATCAATAAGACAAAAAAAAATATCTTATAAAGTATTATTATATGGTTTTGAATTAGTTGGGGTTTTTAAACATATTAATGAAACAAAATTGAATATTATTTTCTAAAAGTGTGTATACTTATAATTTTTTTTAATTAAAACTGTTAGGATTCTAATTCAATATCGTACTGAAACCTATGCACTAGTAGGTACACTTAATAATCTGTATAAAAAATTATATCTTCTTCTGTATATATAAAACAGTAAGCTGATTGACTGCTATCAACGCACAGCTCAAACCATTGGACGGATCTGGCTGAAATTTGGCATACAGATAGCTATTATGATGTAGACGTGCGCTAAGAAAGGATTTTTCGAAATTTTGAATTTAAAGGGTTGAAATCGGTTTAATATTTTTTGACCAGGTCGATAACTGCGCTATTAAAAATGAATTATATTAAATAAAACTATTAAAAAATTATTAAAAAACCATTTAAAACTATTTAAAAACTATTAATTTTATTTTTGGTAGTAAATGACGGGTATTGCATAAATATTAAACAAAAAGATCCCGCAACAGGTGCCAAAACAAATAAGAATGTTAGTTCAAAAAATTATTATGCATATCGGTTGATGATTAGACGCGATCAGGACTAAGTTATTTTACGATGCATAAGCTTTGTCAACAATTCATGGTCGAAATATATATAAAGATAGATAGCGAACGATTTCGATACTTCGATTTCGATTCAATCAAAAAAAGCTGCGTGCAAATGATTCTCAAAACAATTGTTAGATATTGGAGATGGGAAAGTTACTACAGATGAAACGGGATGTATAAAATTACCGAACGATTTCTGCACAATCATTTATTCACAAGATGCTCTCATTGACCAGATATGTCCCAGTGTACACAGACAATACACAAATCATGAGTGGCTGGCAGAAAGAACAATTTTAGTAGCAAAAAATGTGGAGGTCAACGAATTGAATCTCAAGATACAAAATTTGTTATCAGAAAACTTGGTGTCATACAAATCTAGATACAGTTAGCGATGCTACTGAAGTTGTAAATTATCCAACAGAGTTTTTAAACTCATTGGATTTACTAGGCATGCCACCGCATGATGAAGTCAAGTCATGTCTTAAAAGATCTACTTTATGGCCTAAGATTAATATACTCAAACTGTCAAAAAATATGAGGGTACACTTAGGAGAGGAAAAGTTTGCTGGTGGATTTTCAGATCTTTTACTTGAAATTGGCAATGGTGATTATCCATCGTTTGATGAAATGATAACTATCCCAGAAAATTTGTGTACAGTTGTAACTACGGTTCAAGATTTAATATCAAAAATTTATCCAGATATTGCTCATATTCATGATAAGCCTATGGAATGGTTGTGTGAACGTGCTATACTCACTCCAAAAAATGACCAAGCGGCGGCTATCAATGATACACTGCTGATGTCTTTTGAATGGGAAGAAAAAGTATATACTTATATAGATACGGTGGTCAACATGGACGATGCAACTAATTATCCGGTTGAATTTTTAAATTCATTGAAACCACCGGGCATGCCATATCATAGGCTTATTCTGCGTGTGGGCACACCTATTATGTTTTTGCGAAATTTGAAACCACCTAAACTGTGCAATGGGACCAGGCTTAAAGTCAAAGCTTTACATCGCAATATAGTAGAAGCCACAATTTTAACAGGATGTGCAAAAGGGGAAACTGTGTTTGTACCACGAATCCCTTTAATTCCAAATGATCATCCGTTCGAATTTAAACGATTACAGTTTCCCCTGAAAGTCTGTTTTGCAATGACTATAAACAAGTCTCAAGGCCAAACTCTTAAATTTGCAGGAATAGATTTGCGAGAAAACTGTTTTTCACATGGACAGTTCTACGTAGCTTGCTCACGCGTAAGCTCACCCAGTAACTTGGTGATTTTGTCGCTTACTAATAGATCAGTGAAGAACATTGTCTACAAAGAAGTTTTGTAGATAACATATTGAAAAACTATTAGTAAAACATTTATTTTGAACCTTTAGTGCTAAAATTTATCGTGAACAAAGCTTCTGTCGCCAAAAGCTATAACTTATTGAATAGGTTATGATAATAATCATTATCATAAAAACTAAATTAATATGTATAAAATATTATTTCAAAAATCTTAATTAATTTAAATTTCAATAGATTTAACAAAATTTAATCTTGGCAGGTTACATACATTTATATGTTTAAACCCGGCAACGACGGGTAATTCAGCTAGTATGTCATAAATATGTTGATGGCTCATTCGATCTTAACAATGTATTTTATAGTAATGGTAGTGTTGGATGCCGGTTAGTGTGTACCGGCCAGTGCAACGAGAGTGAAATCAACTGTACAGTTTTTTATTCAATGTAGATTACGATATGTGGTGAATAAAACGAACTCTTAATTTCAAAATGTTAACTTTATTTCAAATAATACTCAAGTCTAATTTATTTATTATTACGCAAACCAGTGTGAATGTGGAATTAAAACACATTTGAAAATGGATCTATTCGGGACTCCCCAACATACGACAGTAGTTCAGCAGATAAAATCGTATTAGGTATTGTACCCTGTTTAGTTAAATTAATCTACAAAAATTGGTCGCAAGACATTTACTATACGTTTTGTTTTTTTAATTTGTGACCCATTTATATATTTATATTATAAATTCCAATTCTAATTGTAATATATTAATAAAATGACATTAATAATTATGATCATAATATTATAACAATGCACGAAACAGCAACTTAAATTCAATATAAGCTAATTTTATAAATATAGTAATTTACATCATTCATTTTAGATCGCCTACACAGTCTACGTGCACGGCCCGTCGCAACAGGTTGTCCGTTCGTAACAGATTTCCTACGCGCGTTCTGTGCTCATATTCAAACCTCGGGCATGGCGCCCATTATAAAGCCGTCTAATCCTACTAACACTGCTCACAAACGAACAGCTAGCATAGCTCTCTCACCTCGGGCAAACTTAAAAAACAAATTCTCACCTTTATTGGATTTAGCAGATACTGACAACGACCAATCAGACAACGTTGAAATTGATACGCCGGAGGTAAGACAAAAAATACCACCTCTCTATGTTTACGATATCACAGACTATATTCACTTTCGCGACACAATAACACCAATGATAATAGATGAGTTTAGCATAACTAAAAAAAATACTGTCTTGAGACTAAATCTCACATCGGTCGATGACTACCGTACTGTCACTAAATATTTCACCGAAATCAAAATAAAATATCACACGTATCAATTACCAGAAGACCGAAACTTATCCGTCATAATTAGAAACCTCCCCACATCTATACCTGAAGAACAAATCTTTAACGCAATTACTGACCTAAACTTCACTGTTGTCTCAGTAACTCGACTCCAAAATAAACATAAATCTCCCATACCGATAATAGCGGTACTACTCGAAAAAACGGCAAAAGACATATTTTCGGTAGACCGTCTACTAAACTGCATTATATCTATCGAAAACCGTAAAACTGATTCTAACATACCTCAATGCCAAAATTGTCAAAGATTCCAGCATACCAAAAATTTCTGTAAACTTCCGCCCAGATGCGTAAAATGTTCGGGATATCATCACTATTCCGCCTGCACAAAAGATTCATCTTCCCCTCCTACCTGTGTAAATTGTCTGGGGAATCACCCAGCCAATTACCGAGGTTGCATAGCTTATAAACTATTGAAAAATAAATCGCGTCAAACTAATTCAAAAAACTCTACTACCCATAAGCAATCTGATACCGAAGTTAATATATACAGCAACAATCACCCATCCACGTCACAAAATGTTACTTCTAATCACCTCTCTAAGAATAGCACAAACCCACCTGTCTTCAGTAATAACAACAAACAGTCGTATGCAGAAATAACAAAAACAAATACCTACGAACACCAGGCACCACCTCCATCCCAACCAAATATCCAAAGCGAGCTTCTACAGTTACTAATACCCACCATCAATTCTCTATTACAAGAAATTATAAAAAAAAATCATCGAATATATCCCAACGTTATTAAGTCAAGTAAATGGCTGTCAACTTTAATAATATTAATAATGCAAATTTAGTTATCATAAATTGGAATACCAATGGCCTTAAACAAAACAGAAATACTTTCGCTGCATTTTTGAACACTCATAATGTAGATATAGCTTGCATCAGTGAAACACATTTAATTAATGCAGATAAAATAAAATTTAATGTTTATGTCACTTATTGTAAAGACAGATTAGCAGTTCGACCTTCAGGCGGCGTAGCTATTATAATTAAATCAAAAATAAAACACCATCACACTTTTATACCTGCTCTACAATCACTGGAAGCAGTAGCAATCACTATATCTATCAACAATGTAATTACAACTCTAATTAGCGCATATCAATCACCTAGTTTTAAAATGATCACAAATGATTTCGAAAAAATTCTTTGCAGTTTTCAAAAAGTAATGATTATTGGTGACCTGAACTCCAAACATACCACTTGGAATTGCAAAACGACAAATCAAAATGGTCGTAAATTATATAAATACCTTTCAAATACTTCAACAATTATCTCTTCACCTGACTCCCCGACGTATTATCCATATGACCAAAATAGAAATCCTGACATACTAGACGTAATATTATTAAAATCAATGCCTCTATCAATTCATCAAGAGCCCTTATTTGAACTTGACTCAGACCATTTGCCCGTAAAAATTACATTAGGAGGCGCCCTAAATGTATCTATAAAATCACGTAAACTTATAAATGGCAAACCAAACTGGGAAACATTTAAAACTTATATAACTCATAATATAAAAATCCCGAAAAACATAAATAACACTATTGCAGTCGACGAAGCCACAAACCATTCCTAAGAAATTATTCATCTAGCAGCGGAAGACTGTTCAAACTCGTCTTGTAACATATCCCAAAATTATACATTTTCTCAAATACCTTCTTCAATTCTAAAATTGATAAAAATAAAACACCAAACCAGGAGACTGTGGCAGCTCCATAGACGAACTGAAGACTGGAAAAATCTTAATTATCTCACTAAAAAAAGTCAAAATTTTACTCGAAGAACGAAGAATAGCTTCATACCAAAATTACTTATCTACAATTCATCCTTCGGACTCGAACTTATGGCTCGCTACCAAACGTTTAATCAAACTAAACGCTGGTGTTATACCTCCGTTAAAATCAGATAACGTCTACCTAAACTCAAATGCTGAAAAATGCGAACTCTTTGCCAAAACCTTAGAAAATACTTTCTCACTGAACAATATTGTAGATACCGAAACGGAAACCGCGGTGTGCAACAAACTAGTTGAACCAGATATTCTTCCACAAGATATATTTCCCTACACCACTCCTACTGAAATTAATGAAATAAAAAAATTACCAAACAAAAAATCTCCAGGACACGATCTCATCACTAATGCTATATTAAAAAAAATCCCAATAAAAGCAATCACATATTTGTCTATTTTATTCAATTCATTAATAAGAATCGGCCACTTTCCAACTGAATGGAAAAAAGCCACAATTATAATGATAAAAAAACCTGGAAAAGATAACACAAACCCTAACAGTAACCGGCTCATAAGTTTACTATCTTCAGTCTCCAAAATATTTGAAAAAATCATATACACCAGGTTAACAAAACATCTAGATGCAACCGAAGTCATTCAACATCATCAATTTGGTTTTAAACCAAAACACTCAACTTCTCAACAATTCCTCCACCTAACTGAACACATAAATAATGGTTTTGAAAAAAAACTTCATACCGGTGCAGCGTTTTTAGATATTGTGCAAGCTTTTGATCGTGTTTGGCATGACGGCCTTCTGTTCAAATTAAAAACATTAAATACCCATCCTGCCATCTTTAATATAATTAAATCCTTCCTCTCTAATTGCTGTTTTGCAGTTCGCATAAATTACACCAGTTCAGCAATAAAAAAAATAACAGCCGGTGTTCCCTAAGGATCAAAAATTTCTCCCCTGCTTTTTAATTTATACATCGTGGACTTTCCCACTACATCTAACACAGAAGTTTCTCTTTACGCTGACGACAGTGTTGTCAATTCAAGCTCCAGTGACGTCCACATTGTCACTGAAAATATACAGAGCCACTTAAATAAAATAAAATGCTGGGCGAAAAAATGGAAAATTATCTTAAACCCCTCAAAAAGTACAGCAGTATTATTTACACTTCGTCGTCCCAATAACCCTCCCTCTCTAGTACTTAACGGTGACAACATATTCTGGTCTCCAACTATAAAATATCTAGGAGTTATCTTAGATAAAAAATTAACTTGGGACCCTCACATTTCTTCGAAACTACAATAAGGCTACCAACGACTTAAAATTCTTTATCCTTTAATCAACCGTCAAACCGCCTTAAGCTGGAAATGCACCGTGCTTCTTTATAAGCAAATTCTACGACCATTAGTACTCTATGCTGCCCCTATCTGAGGAATCTGTGCCAAAACTCACATAAATAAAATTCAAGTCTTCCAATCCAAGTTTTTACGCATAATATTCAACGCGCCGTGGTTCGTCAGAAACGAAGCACTTCATACAGACTTCAGATTCCCGATGGTTAAATCCTACATACAGAATCTCTCAGTCAATTTTTTCGGCCAACTTAACAACGCCAAAAGTGCAAAGTATTTTAAAATCAGCGATAAGCCTACCCTCCGGCGTCTCAAGCGCGGCCGTCCTCATGATGCCCTTTCTCAACACCAATAATACATATAAAAAAAAAAAAAAAAAAAAACACCTAGTTTAACTATTTATTATTATGTCATATTTGTAACTTGTTTATTCATCTATGTAAATTACTGTATTTTTTGTATTTATAATTTACTTATAACAATTATTGCATGTTAAAAATGTCTTTATATCAATAAGTTAGATGACCTTGATGTCAGTAACACTT